ATCCTTCCCCAGCTCAGGGCACTCCAGGCTGCAAGGAGGACCCTGGACAGGAAGGCGGCTGGCGTGATTTCAATGTGACACGCAAAGCACGTGATCATAACGAGAAGCTTATGGGGAAGCAGGATTGTAGGCCGGTGTCCATGTCATCATCGGGCATTTCCCCCACTTTGAGCTCTCTTTTCTGAGAGTTGGTCTTTGGTGAACTCTGTAGATCAGTGTGTGATTCTTTTTAAAGTTAACTCTATAAAGCATATCCTAGAAAGAGTTAAACTGTTGTAAGAGTTCTTAGAAAGTGCTGTCCAGCCCGGCTGGCGTGGCTCAGGGGTTGAGTGTCGACCTATGAACCAGGAGGTCACAGTTCGATTCCCCGTCAGGGCACATGCCCGGGTTGTAGGCTTGATCCCCAGGGTGGGGCGTGCATGATTCTCTCTCATCATTGATGCTTCTATCTCTCCCTCTCCTTTCCTCTCTTTGAAAATCAATAAAAAGCCCTAACCGGTTTGGCTCAGTGGATAGAGCGTCGGCCTGCAGACTCAAGGGTCCCAGGTTCGATTCCGGTCAAGGGCATGTACCTTGGTTGTGGGCACATACCCAGTAGGGAGTGTGCAGGAGGCAGCTGAATCGATGTTTCTCTCTCATCGATGTTTCTAACTCTCTATCCCTCTCTCTTCCTCTCTGTAAAAAATCAATAAAATATATTTTTTTTAAAAAACAATAAAATTTTTTTAAAAAAAAACAGAAAGTGATATCCAAACAAGAAACTTTCTGTTTATATCACCCTTTAATTAAGGTGCCTTTAATTGTGTTATGTTATTAAGTTTCATAGCACAGAGCTGCTCAGATCCGCCTAAGGAACAAATGTCCCAAAGAGATATCCCAAAAGACATTTGTTTTCTGTTTTGTTCAAAAAATTTCTCCCCAATATTTTATTTTAACTCTAGGGCTCAGGTGGCAATGGGGTATGATGCACTTTAAATACATTCTATATTCTAGGGCGGTGGTCGGCAAACTCATTAGTGAACAGAGCCAAATATCAACAGTACAACGATTGAAATTTCTTTTGAGAGCCAAATTTTTTAAACTTAAACTGTATAGGTAGGTACATTGTTATTAACTTAATGAGGGTACTCCTAAGGCTTAGGAAGAGCCACACTCAAGGGGCCAAAGAGCCGCATGTGGCTCTCGAGCCGCAGTTTGCTGGCCACGGTTCTAGGGCCAGTGTGGTTGTATGTTGCTGTCAAGCTGGTGTATTTTACTGACACCGTGGGTTTGTCTGCTTGCCCCTCACTGTGATGTGCACGTGTACCCGTGACTGTGTGTTTGAGAGACACGACCCAGTGGCTGTGACATGCAGACTCCTTACCCAGTGCACTGAAAACGAGGCCCTTCTCAGAAAGGGGGCGCCATGCCTTCCTTTAAACAGGGCCTGCGGAAGCCTCTCCCAGGGGTGAGGACAGATGCCAATCCCGTCACAGAGAAGTCGGCTCTAACGCTTGGGTGTCCCCGGCCCTGCCTGCCTCGCCGGGAGAGGGGATGGAGACTGCACGCCCCGCACAGTCTCCCCGACACCTCGGTCCCCTCTCTGCTCTGTGGCCTCGGGATTTCTCTGAATGGCTCCACCCAGTTCAAACGGACTGGACTCTAAAGCACAACCTGTAGCATTTCATCCGGCAATTTACAGATTTACACGCTGTTCACATGAAGAAGTACTTGCATGATGTATCATTCCATTTGTATGGACTGTGCAAAATAGGCAAATCAGAGGCAGAAAGCAGATGAGTGATTGCCAGGGGTGGGTGGGGATGGAGGTGGG